TACAGATCTGTTGGTGGAAGAGCACTTGCTGAAGACGAATATCCTTGGACAGTGACTATATTGAGAAGTGCGTATACATGTTTTCAGTCATAATTGGGTCAAAAAATTTCAAAGACCATCTGCCCGTTTGCGGTCACCCGAAACATATAAGTAATAGAGGCTCGCTTTAGATCAATTCATGTGGTGCAGTGGTGTACAGATATCTCCAAGGCATATTCTTACTGCCGGACACTGTGTGATGAATACTGTCAACACTGAAAATTGCGGAAATGACACTAGCAGGTACGGTTCGATATGCAAAAAGAAAAGCGAAATCTTCTGCTTTTTTAGTGTCGTTTCGATGATGATCCCATCTCAGCAGTTGTCCATATATGTTGGAACGGGAGCAGCCAAGATTGACGGTTCTAGCTGTTGTGATGGAAACATACGCGGAACAGGTTATAAAGCGATAAAGGTAATGGAAATTCCCCACTGAGAGTCTGCGTCGTGAGACAGGAATTTTTCAGATAACTGCTCACGATTATGACTATTGTGGGAACAAAGACGACATAGCTTTGATTGAAATTAGCGTAGATATCCCGGACAAAGTTTCAGTGCCTATTTGCATGCCTACTGAGGGTCTTCCTCTCCAACAAGTACTATATGCTACAGGTTCTGGCTCAGATCGTGAGTATATTGTCTCATGCTTATTTCCTTTGATCAATCTGATCCTATCCAATTATTTTCAATACTTTCCAGCCACTATTCCGATGACTTTCACTACTCAGTGCAATGACTGCTTACCGGATGTAGTAGCGCAACAGTTCATTAGTGTGGATGAGTCTATGCACAAAATCTTTGCAACTGCTTATGCAAAATCAACTTGCCCGGTTTGTATTTTGCTCGAGGCTTGAAGGCAGTGTCCCGGCAGAATTTCGTTTTTCAGTTTTTCACATTTTCGCGGCCTCGCCGTGAGGAACCCATATCTGGGCTTTTCTATGCATAAAAATGGCGAAAAAGAGTCTTTTTCAAAGATTCCAGGTTCGCATTCAGAGGAAATACGCTGGAAAGTCTTGCGCGCCCCGCCTCTTTCGTTTTGAACTCCGCCCACTTACACGTATTTTCCAGTTGCGGACATCGAAAGCTTTGAAAAAGGCTCATTTTTGCCATTTTTATGCGCGGAATAGCTCAGATATGGGTTTCTCATAGCGACAAGGCCTCGAAATGTGAAAAACTGGAAAACGAAATTCTGTCGGGACACTGCCTTCAAAGATTTGTGGAATTCCCTGCATAAGCATAGATTGCATCTCCAGCAGTACTAAACTGTACTGCTCGTAGAGAACTTCTTTCCTATCATGCTTCCCAAGCTTGAAATTACAATCGCTGACGACTTTTTTTT